GAGATTTATTCTTGGCACTGAATAAATATTGAAAGTCACACAGAATATGGCAGCTGGACATATTTATGTTACTAAGAAAATATATTCATGACTTGGTGTGGTGAATTAAGCAGAAAGCACAGTTAGAGGCAATGGGCCCATAAGCCCAGATATCATCAGGCTAAAACATGAGCTCCTTCCAAGCTCCTTTATATGCAGAAACAGGACTATAACCTAGTGCTGCAAAGGATGTTTCAACAATAAAATAATATAGAGCAACCTACGGTGTTTTCAATAGAATCAACACAAAGGCACCTTAACCTTGGATTTTAGGATGCACAGTTTACTTGTCCACAGAGTAGCTAGCTCCAAAGAACGTAACTGCAACTTAAGTCCTAGCTGGGGGATTCCTGGTCCCATGACTGGATGGTTTAGACTGTGACCCAGAAATTCTTCTCCTGCTCTGAGATTCCCAGTGTATGGAACCAGTAAACAGGTGCTGTACCGATGTGAAGATTCTGTCAGTTGTGATAGAATGGGACCTGGGAAATAACCACGGGATGGATTCAAGGACCCATTAACCCACTTTGAGATGAACCTGAGCTAAAACTCCATTGATTATCTGTCTTCCATAAGTCCTTACCCTGACATTTAAAAAAATGTATGTATTTTTATTATTTCAGAGAGGAAGGGAGAGGGAAAGAGGGATAGAAACATCAGTGATGAGAAAGAATAATTGATTGGCTGTATACTCCACATGGGACTGAACCTGGAACCTGGGCATATGCCCTGACTGGGAATTGAGCTGTGACCTCCTGGTTCATAGGTCAATGCTCAACCACTGAGCAACACTGGCCAGGCCAAAGTAACAGTTTGGATCTCCTGGAGTACGTAAGTGTCAGTTCAGAGCCAGTGCCCAGTAATAAGTCCTGAAAAGTTTGATTATTTTCTTTTCCCTCATGCACAATTACCCTGGTAAAAGGCTGTAGGTATCCTGAGGAAGGCTGAAAGATTAAGAGTATAAATTTTCAGTAATATACCAGGATCCTTCATTCAAGGGGTTCTTCATCTATAAACTGGCTCAAGTCTTGTAACTGAAATCTGTTTTTATCATACAAATTAAACTTTTGTTCACTTGACTAGAATTCTTGTGCTTATACAGATGAAGTAAGAATTACTATTTCACTTCTAGGTGCACCCTCCACATAGGTCTGTGCAGTCCGCTGCTTTGACTCCATCCTTAGAGTAACCACGCCCACGTTAGGCAACTAAGCAATAAAGAGCAGACACATTTGTCTTGTCAGTCCTGACCCTCTTGGAATTCACATGCTGGGGAAGAGGAAAATAAACACATAAAAAGCAAATATTTTAAGGCACCAATAAGTGCTACCAAGAAGACAAAAGAGAATTCCCAGGGTCTTTCTTGGGGCCTGGGCTCACTTAAATCCATGAAAGACCCAGCATGGTTTCAGGGGTAGAGCAGGTGCTAAAGTGTTTTTTGAGGTGAACTGAGTGGAATTGGAGAAAAAAAGAGACTTGGCTGAGACTACCCAGCAATTCAGAGACAAGGGTGTCCAGATGAACTCTAGAGCCAGTGAGAAAAATCTGGGTGTCCATTGACAGATGAATTGATAAAGAAGATATTGTGTGTGTGTGTGTGTGTGTGTGTGTGTGTGTGTGTATACATACACAGTAGAATATTATACAGCATTAAAAAAACTTGCCATTTGTGACAACATGGATGATCTAGAGGTTATTATGCTAAGTGAAATAAGTAAGGCAGAGAAAGACAAATACTATATGGTTTCACTTATATGTGGAATCTAAAAATAAAACAAAACAAGTGAACAAACAAAACAAAAACAGACTCATAGAAATAGAGACTAAAGAGATGACTACCAGAAGGGAGAAGTTGGGGGAATGGGTGAAAAGGGAAAGGTAAATACAGTCAATAATATTATGATAAATATGTGTGGTAACAGATGATTACTAGTAACTCAAGTCACTCAGTTATTAGAATTGGTGTGGTGATCACGAAGTAAGGTATAACAATGTTGAGTCACTATACTGTACACCTGAAATACAGGTGGGGCAAAAGTAGGTTTACAGTTGAGAGTACACAAAATATGAAGTTTATTCTTGCATTTTTATTAACTATTACAATATATTATTTTCCATACAAACAACTGTAAACTTACTTTTGCCCCATGTACTTAACCAATATAATATTGTATGCCAACTATACACAAATAAAAAAACTTGTGAAAAAGTCCTCTGTCATCAACTTTTCATGTTTTACATGTAGGTAACATGACCCATAAACTCAGCTAAGAAAGATCATTACCTTTCTTGATTTTCTTTACCTTAATTTCTCAGGTCCCCTTAGTTGCTGGAACTCACAAAACTGTGGGAGTTTTGTCACGTGGGCCCAGGTGAGTAAGCTCGCATGACTCATCTCAGCCTTGCCCCCAGCCCAGGGGATCCCCACCTATTCTGGGGAGCAGGAAGGTGCCATTTTACTTGGTTTCTCCCAAGTCTTTTCCTATGGTTCCTCCTTTCTGGTTCCCTCATGGGCAAGACTTGAAATTTCAAAGCCAGAAAGAGGCCTCTTTTTTTTTTACTCTCCCTCTGCTGTCATTCGGAGGCAATGAGCACAGGCAGCTTAGCTGGAGGAATGGGATGAAGAACAAAGAGAGAACAGTAACTGCCAAACCATAGAGGACTGTTCCTAAACATTATCCCACACTTCCTCCTCTTCCATGTACTTTTAACACTATCTCCCTTGATCCTCCTACTAGCTTTTCAAAAGACGAATCACACTGGAGAACCTGAGTGACTTTCCCGCAGTAAAGGGCAGGTGGATGGACCTGGGCCTCTGGACTTCTAGTCCTGTGCCAACTTCGTGGAGGTATGCTGCACTTGCCTCTGGCATCACCATTTAGAAAGCTTGCTGAGTTAGCAATACACTGTCTGTGCCTTACCAGCTGAATTACGTTGTTTAGAGGTCATCCTGCTGCTGAAGGATGATTTATCTGCAGCAGAGAAGATGATGTCATGAATATACCCAAGTAGTCTCTGCTCTGTACTGCCCTTGGATCAGCTTCTGGACAGTCCATTCACTTTGAGTATTTTGCAGCCACCATAATGGCCTTCTTCCCTGCAGCCAACTGAGCTGATCATATCACAGCAGATTGGCAATTACTATTGCCATAGTAATTTGGGCACAGTCAGGTACTTTTGAGTCTGTGGACATGGTTGGAATTTCCTGGATAAGACTGCAAATGGAAAGGACTGGAAAATTAAGAACTCAGGCTATCAGCCTTCTCCAGATAGCTCATGGTATTACGTAGGTAATAGAAAGCAGAGGGAAACCTTGGCCTTTTCCTGTGACAAGAATGTCTTAGCCCAAGGATTTTGAGAAGGTCCTTTAAAAGTTAGCTGCAAATAACACCTGTTCTTCCTTGGGTATCTCATGCTACTCAGCATTAGGAATGCTGCAGCCCTTGGATCCATGAGCCAACACACGTCAGTGGTGTATGCAAGCCAGCCTCACACAGAGCTTTGAACATCAAAGGCTGAGGAAAAGCTCTTTTCCTCCACCATTTCAAAGCAAATTATTGATTCTAATCATTTATTTTCCAAGGAGAAAATATTTTTATACTTTCCCAAACTTTCCAACCCTTTAGGTTTACTCGATTGGTGTACTGAAATGTATTGACTCTGATGAAATTTCCTGAAATTAGTGCAATTGATTCTTATATTTGGAAAGTGCCCATTGTGTGCAGAGTATAGTATGTGAGGGGCTGTAAAGAGATTAAAAAAAAAGAAGTTTAGAAAAATTTGTGTATAATACACCAATCTCAGTATGTCTACAAATCTTGTAGGATAAGTCATATAAAAATTTAAAAATTATTTTAAATGAGCTATAAAAGTGACCCATTAGTCTGTACGGGGAACTCTTTGTGCTCTTGAAGTAACCCATTTACGCACTTTCTCTCTGATGCTTTATATTCCTACTAATTTTAGCTGATTTAAAAATACTACTCTATGTAATTAATGAAAATGCATGTTGTAGTTCTCTGACCTTCTCTTCTGGAAAAACTGTGCTTTGCTCTCTGGGTACATTTATCATCAACAACCACAACTGATATGCTTCTCAAATTCATAATTTAGCACTGTCTCCTTCCCTTTCTCCATTTATTTATTTTATTTGATTCCTATAGATTCATCTTATGCTATGTATTTTAGAAAGAATGTCTCTAATGAAAATAAAGTGCTCAAGCACCAGTCAGAAATTTTTATTTTTCTACCCCCCCCCCCCCCCCCTTATCCAAGCAGAGTTCCTTGGACTCTCCTTATTGAGCTTCTGGGTTCCTAAGCTTGGAATGACTTAGTAGTAGTAAGTGCATCAGGCTCTTTAACGAAAATGACTACACCATTGGCTATACTATGCCATTGCACTTGGCTAGCAGCACAACTTTCATTAGTTCAACACAAAGTCAAGAACTTAAAAAAAAAGCAAACACATGCAACCTATTCCATCTCAGGAAGCAGGCTTCCTACCTAGTTAAATATGCTGTTATCATAGATCAATAAAACAATATTTACTGGAAACACTCTCACCCTGGATTTAAGGGAGTGCCTTAATGGTTCAAATGTTTAATTATCCATAATATATGGCCAGAGCTATTTCTTGCTTGAATTAAATTTTCAGAAAAAAAAATACATTTATGAATGTGCTCTGCCATGGAAACAGCTTTCCATTTACCCATTTCCTAGAAGCAAAATACTAACAGAATCAGCCATGAGAAAACAGACATGTGTTCCCTTCTCTTCTGGATGTAAATGCTGGTAATTGTATTTCTAAGAACCAGCATTATGGCCCATAAGGCTGACATGAAGATAGGGAAGGAGATGTGTTAAGGGATAATTTCTTGGTAACGAGGTCCTCTAGAGTAGAGAACACGTTTAATTATGGAGAATAAACACTTCACTATAAAATATGAAGGAGAAAATCTTACCCAAATCCGGAAAGTAAGCGACAGAAGAGAAAGAAGCCATAGCCTTGGACAAACGAGGAAAGGAAGGCAAAGGTTCCGTTGACGGACATGCAAATCAGAAGAGACTGCTTCCTTCCCACTTTGTCTGCCAGTCCTCCCCAGAAGAATGCCCCCACCATCATCCCGAGGTAGACTATGCTGCCTGCAACACACAGAAAACAAAGAAACACGTCAGTGCTTGAGAGTAAATGGCACATGTAACAGCAAATGAACAAGGAGCAAAATACATTCCAGCATTTTCCATGGCAAAAGTTTCCTTTAAAAATACAATCTTTAGAACTCACAAACCAGCCTTCAGGTTGGAAAGTAAGCTCTGTGGGCTACCTTTGGCTGCCATGAGCAATGGCAAGGGCAAAAAGAGAACAGTCACATTCTCACTAGTCTCATGGGGATGGTACAGAGCAGGCAGGCCTGAGTCTCCACACAGAACAAGTCTAGAATCCGACTCACAGTTACATCACCTTTGGTCTGGATGCCTGACTTACCTCCGTGACAAGGCCACGATGAGGGACTGAGTCAGGGGCTCCCATCAGAGTGGATTCCCAGCACATGACCTGGGCCAAGGTCACACCCTTAGGAACCCTTTAGAAGATTCCATGGGTGCTTTCTCCCTGGTCCCCTCTGAAAGCCCTGGCTCTTCCTTGGGAAGAAAAAAAAAGCTGAGGAAGGTGAGTTCAGATAGTACAAGGTTTAATCTGAAATTGTCTCACACTCCGTGCATAAGAGAAAACTTCTTCTTGGAATGTAAGGAGAAGGGAAATCGCTGTTAACACTTTGGAAATTGTGCTACTCATCACAGTTGGCTTCGCTTCCATGAAGACAGCAAATAAAAAATCAAGAGCTAGATAGGTGTCCCTTTTGCGTTAGGGTGAGTATACACTTGAATTTTCTAATTCACTTGCTTCTTCTAAAGACCAGGCCCTGTAAACCCTGACCAGATTCTTTCTCAGGATTAAATGACGTTAGGTGTGGCACATGTTACTTCAGGGAGGTTTCCAAAAGGGTGTGCAGTGTCCAGGGGAAATGGCATAGTTAACCATGAAAGTTCGTTATATCTGAACGCGGTGTTTAAAAAGCTGCGAACACACCTTTCATTTATTTCTGCCTTTTCCCTTGCTTCATCAAAGCACCATTTGAACAGCCCCTTACAAAGGCACATTCAAGATACTCAGCAGCATCTAAGTAGTGAGCTTAAACACACACACAAGCAAACCATTGGCTGATGTATTACTTTGGATTCATTGGGGAAATAGCCTACTTAGACATTCGTCCTGAATTCAGTTGCTTACCACACTGTTAATGCATCAAGGTAAGACCCAGAAAGAGAGCACCTGACAGCCTGGTGACCCTCATATCAACGACATGTGGATGCTGCTTTGCAGATGGCCAAGTACAGACAGCTACAGTGGACGGCCAGTGCTGGAGCAACTGAGGAAACAAAACTGCTTTCATTTAGATGAGGATGGCTGGTCAGCCTCGTCTGGTGGGACGGCATATTGGTCTCTGAGCTATGGGGCTGACCATACACAGATCACCCTTTTCAATAAAGAGACTACACATACCATGGGCCCCAATGCATGTCCAGGAGACAATGCAAAGGAAATGTATCAGCACAAAGTAAAGGAATTCCAAGAGCAGACAGATCCACCAGGGAAATGCATATGCAATAGATCTTGTTTATAAGAGGATCAAGTTTGCTCTTCTGTTTATTCTCAGAAGAATAATCAGTAGCTAAGCTTGTTCATAATAACGTCTGTGTCTTTAAAAATGCCTACGAATCGGAATGTGAGCTCCCACAGGTCAGGAATGGCTGCGATCTGAGCACTTGGGAGTCTTTCTTGAGCTCCAGCCCCAGGAACAAGAACATGAACAACCATCACTAGCACTTGCTGAACCGTCACCAGTTCTAAGTGCTTATGTGAAGGAACTCCTTTACTCTCATGATGACACTTGGAGGTTAATACTGTGGAAGCCCACTTCACTGGGGAGGAGCCTGGGGTACAGAGAAGTTAATGATCTGACCACAGGAAAGTGAGTGGTGCCTACATTCCCGTCCGTAGGCAGGCAGTTCACTGTACAGCGTAATCCTGATTCCTCCAACATCCTGGCTGGCCTCCTGTGAAAACATCCCAGTTTGTTCAGGCCCCTGTGTGGTGGGTGGTACCACCTAGACTTGAAAGCAGTACCTAACATGAGTGAAGTGCCTTCTTCCTGGGCTTCACCTGGAGAGTTAGCTAAGTAAGGGGTAACAGAAAATGATTGACAGAAGCTAGGGGGAAATGCTGCTTCATTCTACCCTCACCCAGGACAAGGGGTGCACTACACCTTCTAAGACACTTCAAAGGGGCACATTCCCAACCCTGGTGGGAGTCAGGGGTCAATGCTGAAAACAGCTCAGTGGTGCCAGAGGAAAAATGAAAATCCAATCTGTTGGTAAAAAAGTATTGGCTTCTATGCGTTGGTCCAAGGAGGGCAACTCCCCTGCTTTTCGGGTCTGGGAGGGAAGATACTCCTGCCGGACTGGCCTCCACATCCTGTCATCCCCCTCATTCCAGGAAGTCGCTTCGCCTCGTATTCACTAAGCCAGAGCATGACTTTATGAAGCGATGATTCCAATATGTTAAGGCTCATAATGAGGTGCTAGCTCTCCCCCACCCAGTGGTAGTGTGAGGATACAGCCCATCCCAGGAGCTTCTGAAAGCTCAGAGGTAGTCAAGGCTGAGCTCACCTCGGACTTCTGTGATGGGGACTTTGTAGGGGCAGAAAACCCTCGTTTCTCATTAGCACTTGGTACTTAAGCCATTTAAAATTAAACTTTAAAATGTATTAGGGGTTTTAATATATAAAAGAGTAGAATTAATATGGCCCATCCTTCAATTCCCCCAGATACTTCTATTAACATATATTTAAACAAACAAATATGCCTATGTGGCCAAAACTTCAAACCTTATAGAAATATATAAAATGAACTCTTCCAGAAGTTTTATACATATAAGTATAAAAAAATGGATATCCTGTAAGAACTGCCTGTTAATACCATTTTTTTTTCCTGTATAGTGTTGTTCCCCCCACCGCCCTACTTGTGTTCAGGATTTCTCAACTAAGCAAACCAGAAATAAATCTCTGCCAGAATTTTAATAACTACTTCAAAATACACAACATATATTGCAGAAATGCAATCACTACCAGCTATTAGGAGAAAACCAAACAGTTCTGCTTGCATCTCATATTATTACTATGCCTAAAATAAATACACTCCATCTCCTTAAATGACAGGATATTAAATTCAACTTTAAAGAATGTGTTAAGCACCCACTCTACATGACATTTCCTGAAGTGGGAGAATGTAAGGATTATAAGTCATGCTCCCTGACCTTAGAGAAGGCAAAACATAGCAAATATTCATCACACACCTACTCAGGAGAGGAGTTAGTGTCACACCCATCATTTCACACAACCCTCCGACAACCCCATCTGATCATGGCCACTACAGAGAGGGGCATCCGGGCCAGAACTTTCAATGGCCTCCTGAGGACAGATGACCAAGACAGAACAGTGCTGAAGAGTTTACTCAGGCACCTGGGCTCCAAGTCTCTACACCATCAAGATGGCTCGGTGGTTTGGCTCAGTGGATAGAGCGTCGGCCTGGAGACTCAATGGTCTCAGGTTCGATTCTGGTCAAGGGCATGTACCTTGGTTGTGGGCACATATCCAATAGGGAGTATGCTGATGTTTCTCTCTCATTGATGTTTCTAACTCCCTATCACTCTCCCTTCCTCTCTGTAAAAAATCAATAAAGTATATATTTTTAAAAATGGCATAAAGGGCTTCTAAGTCAGTGAAGGAGACAATAGGCACATAGTTGAATGAGCCCAACCGTGAGATGTGTGGTTTGATTGGGGCATATCTGGGACCCGAGGGACAGGAGGTGGCTACTGATTTTGACTGTGGTTTCTGGGAAAGTTTCACTGAGCAGGAAACATCTGAGAGAATCCTGAAGGATAAGAAAGATTTTGAGATGGAATTAAATTCTTCCACCAGCGAGAGGTTTAGGGGGTATCTTCACATCTACTCTGGTTAAAAAAGGGTTTCACGTCTACTCTGGTTAAAAAAGGGTTTCAGATTCTAAGGCAATAACCTTGTGTGCCTATGTTGGGTTACTACCCGGTAATGCAATGTTACATTGGCATGCCATGGAGAGAATTAAGCCTACATAGTAGCTTATTTAAAACAAATGAAACCATTAGGAGGTTATTTGTTGGTCCTATGATCTAATTAAGGCCAGACATTTTCAATGTTAGCAAAGGCACCATGTGACTAAAACTGGAAACCCTGGGACCATCCGCACAAAAACTGTGTGTACTTCCTGCCTTGCTTTCCCATGTCCACGTTGCTTTCACCGTGCTGAATGGGGAGTCCCTGAAACTCAGAGCAGACACCTGCTCTCGACATGGAACCGCCTTGTCAGTTCTCTCCTCATGCTCCTGCTGCTGGTGGTCAGAATTAGAGGGCATTTTAGTTCAAAGTTCCTTATTTTACAGGCAGGAAACTGAGGCCATGAGAAGTCAGTATTTAAAATGAGGTCAGACTTTAAGCCCTGGGCCAACAGCCGGAGCTCCATGGGGGAACTCGCTCGGAAAGCAGCCTGCAGGGCTCCACTGGGACCTACAGGCACAGACTGTGCATTAGAACAAGATCCTCTCACGATCCGGGTGCACCCTTGCCGGGCTCTTTTAGACTATTGCGCTTTCTAGTGAAACACCAATTCTTTTTTCTTTTTATTTACTTAAAAGTTTGTGTTCATCTAATACATGTTTGAGAGGAGAAGATGCAGGCCATGGAATATTGGGATTCCAAAGACACAGAACAAGCCAGATCTCCCCACACAAGCTGGAGGTTTCTAAAGGACAAGCAGGAACTTCGGGCCCTCCTAGGGCCTGTCTTCCTCAGGACCAGAGGCAGACCTCCGTGGTGAGAGGGCTTTCAGGAGGCTGAACCTGACCTGAGAAACAAGCAGGACCTGAGGCTCCCGCTGCTCCCTCCGCCATAGCTGGGCTTCCGGCCATTCCTGGCCAGCTCAGCTCTCCGTCTTTCTGAAGACAAAGGAGGCCTCCAGCATGATTTTCCATTAAGGCATTTTCT